GGAAAGAATTCATTTCGGACAATTTATCCTCGATCCCCACCAAACTGAAATGAGAAGAATAGTCAAAAAAAGATTATTGGTATCTGCAGCAACGATTAAATAATAGAGACCATATGAAACTGGTGATTTTATGCATAAATGTGTACCAAATTTGTAAAATGAGGCGTTGATAGTGAGATAAATTTTCTCACACTAAATGCCACTTATAGGCCTTGGACTGTGACGACCTTATTCCAAATGCGTGATGCACGCTCAGTAATGCCCTGCATCGATTTACCGTTCATGAAAGCAACTCTCGATATCTGCATAACTCATCCGCCTGGAACTGAAGCTCGGTATATATCACCACTTGAGATTATTCGCATTATTCGTCGAAATATGGGATATCTTGGTCACTTGAAAATTGCAGTTTAATCGGAGTTGATCATTATTGAGAAATGCCGCTAACAACTGACGATGAGTTCGAACAGTTCAAATCATTCGAAATAATCTATCGTTGTTAAAATCAATTGTCAAATTCAGTTCCAACACAATAACATGAATTTGTTGAGGTGCAATGATAGTGAAAAGGAGAAAAATTTTAAAATTCATTGTGACCATAAAATGCTTCAATTGTGACAAATATGCTCTATCCAATTGAAATTTTGGATAACATTGAATTAACTAACTGAAAATTTTTCNGAAACGACTCCTCCAATGTCAACTTATCTCTACGGATTCGCTCTTTTCAATCGTATGATCAACATTCAGCACTCAGCTGATCGCGAACTCAGTTTACCACAAATTGATATTCTATACCCTCAACAAATGAGTAGCGATAAACCGATTTGGATGCAAGCAGAAAGCATTCAAGTATCATCTTCATTGATTCTTTTCTACTGTTTTTCTGTTAGAAGAATCCAAAAATAAGCGTATGATTATATGTCTTTTGCAGTTTGCAAGTGAACGTATGCCAAGAGTTCTGTCATTTCGGTTTAAAAATAATTCTACGAGTCTTAGTTCTCAGAATATCCAAATTTTCCCTTCGTTGAATAAACAAATGAATTTTTGGTAGTGCATTCGAAATGCAATCTGCTTACACTGAGTAATTGACAGTCGATATGTAAACATAATGAAAATGTTTTTGGCATTGTGCATTCCAATTTAGCCGCAAAATTTCATTGCAAATATATTTGGTCTTTCAAATGGGGTAAATGAGATCACTTCAAATGAAATGTTTTTTGAATACACTACTTGAAAATAACAAATCTTTTGCTTCAATAGGATGTTCCCGTAATCTACGAATAAGCTTGAAAAGGAGTAAAATAATGACAATCAGTGAATTCGTTATGAACTGAACACTTCAGATTCTTCAATATATGAGCGAATTCACCGGATTTGATTATCCGTTGAAAAAGTTATCGCTCTTTTCCACTTCACTACCGGTTAATGGAGTGGAAAACTTTGGTCTGATTGTGCTCAACGAACGTTGGATGGCATATCCCAAATATCGTATGGCACACTCAATATTAGCGCATGAAATCGCACATCAGTGGATCGGTAACATTGTTACTGTCAAGAAATGGAACGAAATTTGCTTACAGGTTCACTTTTATTTAACATTTAGCATTCACTATTAGTTTTGATATGCCCCAAAATTTTAATATAAAATATTTATGTAATATAGTGGTTAAAATGTGTAATTTATGAGCAATTTCCATTGAACGATCATCGAAATTCTTTATGAAGTTTAATTTGAATGCTTGTTATAAAGGCATTCATCGATGATAAACAAGTGAAACCATATGATGCCAATTTGTTTATCACAAAGTTATGATGAGTGGTAGTGAGTGGTGCCTTAATAGATGCATACATATGATTGATGATGTATTATGCTCTCGAATAATAAGTTCATTTTAATAATGCATATAGATATCTTAATGAAGATATACATAGATATACAACTTTGAATACACTATTTTGACACATTAAACACTTTAAGCTATTAGGACTCAGCTGAGTTAATACCGATTTCTGTAATAATTCACTCCCGCACTCAATGCAATTCCATTCTGCAACAGTTTCATCGGGAAATTTAATTCTTCTGGGGCACTCATTCAAGAAAATACCTTGATAGAAGCAATCGGATGAATGGATTAGTAGAATTAATTAATCAAATGAATCACCGAATTAAATGATTTAATGAATGAATCAACTTGACCTCATGAATCAATCATTGTTCAAATCGACGTACGTTGATCAATTTGGATCAGTACTTCTCAATCCTCAAACTTTCAAATCGGTCTCATCAAAGTGCTATAGCAGCAAGATATGATATTTTGATTCCTCTCAAATACGCCTCTAAAGTCTCATATTGCAAGATGATGGCTATATTACCAATCCTAAAACCTATGGCAACAATTGCCTCAATTGTAAATCATTTATGATCATCGATTTGCTTCTTCTGTCTTCATTCTTACAAGAATATACACCTTAAACATTCTCTTATTCTATCATCTTGCAACATCATAATAAGAGCACACTATCAAGATGAAGCGCTTGACCTTGCTGATATAAATCAACTCGAATTTGGAATAGAAATACAAAAAACTTTCATTATATTCCATTCATTTGCAGTAATAACAATGAGTTCTATTTACTATTTCAAGTCATTCTCAACAATTGCTTGAGATTTCTTTTATCACATAAGTAATACCCTTGCATAGTTCCTCAATCCTCAAACTTTCGAATCGGTCTCATCAAATGCGAACTAATTGTCAACTCAAACTAATAATGATGGAGACTTTAAAAATTGATGGTATATTCGCAGTGACTATTGGCATTATCATATCTTGCATTTGCTTTGTTATTCTTGTGATTAACTTTATGCCAACATGTCCTATAGCTCAATTACAATTAAAGCAATCGTATAATGTTTCACGGCCACAGTTGTCGATCATCTTATATATCTATCTTCAATACATTGGCATAAATTATCACTTTCCTTCAGAACTTTAAACATCATAGTTAATAAAGCGACCAATTTTAAGGACTATTTTTCATTAAATAATAGGAACACACATAAGTTAACAATAATTTTACCCAAGTACTACATTTCCCAATTCA